ATGCAATCTAGAAGAAAACAGTTTCTGTGAAGCTTTGTCTGAATTCTGATGTTTATTTCCTGTTGATAGCCACTCCATCAGCTATCAGAGTATCTGAAAACAAATCCTAAGTTCATCATTCTCAAGTCCAGGCTCGGCGGCTCAAAAAAAAGAACAACCAGTAGATGGATGCTTTGAAAGCCCTCATCAGAAAATTCCAATGGACTTTGTTTCTTCTGGTTCCCTGTCTAGAACTTGTAATGCTAACTATTCTTGCCTTTACTTCTCCTTCATGTCTCAATTTGAGAGTTTTTTAAATAGGCCCACTGAAGGGGTACCCCAATTGCGACACTCTATGTCCCTGTTCAGCATGAAAGAAGCCAGAGCGGTCTGCGTCCCAATTCCCCATAGGCAAATTGGGTTACCTCTTCAAAAATAATAAAATAAAATAAAATAAATCCCTTGCTCTCCTAAAAGCTACTAAATGAGATTGTACCTTGATTTGGCATCACTATTGGTCTGGGGTCTGACAATGGCCCAGCTTTCATAGATGTATCCTTGCTCTGGAAACTATTATTGAGTATGTTAAAGCTATTATGTTCTCCTTCTGAATAATAAAAACTGTAACTGGATCCTGGAAAAAACCCAACATTCTAATAACCTCGGGAAGAGGATATGCATTTGTGTTTCCACAGGATGCTGAAGCTCCCATCTAAATTCCTGATAGGTTCATCAGACACTACAATAAAGTCTTAAAAAAAAAACAAAAAGACGCTGAGAGACATGACCAAAAAGATGAAAAAACTCAGATTTTCTCATCTACAGACCAAGACAACACAGGAGGCCATCCATTACCCACTACAGTCTCCTGACTATATTTTAGATTATTCCATTGCTAATCCAAATTATGATTATACCTCTTATTTAACAAATAATGTGCAAAAGTTTAATAGTTACCTTTCTTATATTCCTAATACATTAAAAGAACCAATTAGGAGATGGTACACTCCTGGATGGGTGGCACTTATTTACGTTAGTCACTCTCCTATAGACAATAAGACTAGTATTTATTTTTAGCCTTTTCCCCCTTTTGGCGGCTGCCAACGTGTTGCTCTTAAAGAAGCCTAAAGAAACTAAAACTACATTTATTGGAGTAAGAGCATGTATAAATTATCCTTATGGAATTTTAGCTGCTAAACCAAAAAATTTTACCATTTATAATAATGGGAAATCGTATCATGTAAAATGTACAAACTGTGTGTTAACTAATTGTTTGACTCCCACTCTAAATATAGAGTACTCAATAATAGTTTTATTAAAAAGACCTAGTTTTGTTATGCTTCCAGTAGATTTAGACTCAGATCCTTGGTATGATAATTCAGCTTTACAAACATTGAGGAATTTGAATGAATTAATCAGGCCAAAAAGATTCATTGCAGCATTGGTATTGGGCATAGGCGCATTGATTACCATCTTGACTTCGCTTACTGTTTCCACTGTTGCTCTAGTGGAAGAAGTCAGAACAGCACATTTTGTAAATAATCTCAACAAAAATATTTCATTAGCTTTAGCAAATCAATATAGCATTAACCAAAAGCTAGACATGAAAATAAATGCTTTTAAAAAGATGATTTTAGCTTTAGAACAGAAAGTACAAAATTTAAAGGTACAGCTCTCATACTAAGTGTCATGCTAGTTTTAAATATATTTACGTGACTCCTTTAAATTATAATACATCCTTGAATTGGAATGCTACCAAAAACCATTTGTTAAAAGTATAAAAAGACACTAAAATATCTCATAATATGCAGGATTTGCAATTACAAATATCAGCAATGAGTCAGGCACATTTGGATGATGAAGATATCTCTTTTCTAGCGCAATCACTAAAAAATAATTTGATTTCACTTAACCCTTTCAATTGGGTGCATAATTTATTACAGGTGTCATCGTAGGAGTAATTCTTCTCCTTATTTTTCTGCTCCCAGTCATCTTTCTCCTAGTTTTCTCTTCTGTCTCATCTCTCTGCCAAAAAGTACACAAACTGCATTTAAAAAATAAAAAAAGGATGAAATGTCACGCCATCTCCAATAAAGCCCAGATGAGATCCTCCATGGGTTGAGGCTGGAACTTCAAGGAAGGTTGCCTCTTGGAGTTGGCTGTGCTAAAAAACATGCAGTGTACTTGGCATGCTTTTACTTGCTATTATCTTTCTGACTGTCACTGTATCATGGGCTTTCAGTGGTCCCGGAAAGCACCTGGTGTCCTTGACACCGCTTGTCACTACCTTTATTAAAATCTTTTGATTATCCTAGTATGCAGGAAGAGTTCTCAGGAACCCAATCACCAAAGACAACTTTGCCTCCAAATGCATCACTATTAATAAAAGCTATTTTAAATACAGCAAAAAGTAGTCAAGCAAAATTAATGCTAAAATGTCCAAAAAATAACGGGTTTCTAAAAAAGAGACATAGATGGGTAAACATAAATAAAAAAAGGGTTTCTTGGTATTCATTACAATTCATGGATAAATTGGCAAAATCAAGACCACCTTGGTGTCTTTTGACAAAAAATCAATAAGAGCATTAAAAGACAACTACAGACTATATTTAAAAGTTAAAAAAAATAAGAGAAAAGGATGGTTTCATAGGTCCCTAACATGGGATGATTTTTTAAAATCTAGGGGGTTAAAAAATGACTTAAAAGCCCAATGGCCCACTACAAATAAACAAAAAATGTTATCAAATAGTTAAAAATGTAGTATCAGGCACAGTTGATATTAAAAGTACTTGGTGGTTTAAAGGCACAGTTGATATTGAAAGTACTTGGTGGTTTAAGGTCATTCTGACCTGAAGTCACAAAACTAAGCAAAATTCTGAGTGCGTAATAAAAACCACAGTATCATAAAGCAGGAATTTGCTGGCTGGCACCAGGTTGATAAGATAAGGAAATGTGTTTTGGCTATACATGATGGTTGGCAAAATTGTTTCACTTTTACTGAAAATCTCAAAAAGTGACTAATTACAAAAGAGTCATACTGATGATGAACTTTTGCAATCTTTGCTGTATGTATTTCAAACCTTGCAGCTGCAAAAATACACTCAGACTTTCACCAAGTTCTTGTGTGTCTGTCCGTTTGTCACTCACCGAATCCTTGCCCACTCTCTCGAGGACCCTGTTCCCATCAGACTGAACTGCTCCGGTCTGGGCTGGTCCGTCGCAGATTATCATCTGACAAATACTCAGTCTTAGTTGTTATATTAACTGTATCACTGTCCCAGCCCCCCATGATGCCCCCAAATCCACCAGACTCCCTACCTGAGGACAGTGGGGAGGAGCTCAGCAGTGTAGATGAAGAACACAGTGACAGTGGCAGCCAGGCTGAACTCCCTGAGCACAAGCATCAACACTATGGTCGATTTCAGCTCTGAGTGAAGACAGCATGAGCCCTGAGTCTTAAGCCATCCTACCTTTGGGGTCCCACAGCCTTCCCTCAATCTCTTACCAAAGGTGTCTGAATGGCCTACCACTACCACTTGGTCAGCTGGCCAGCAGACTTAGGCATTCAGCCAGAGTAGGGTTGGTCTGCACGGGTCCAGCCAGTCCTGAGGTTGGTACAGTGAGAGAGTTGGACACGGCTGGGAGCAGGACCCACCAGAACCCAAAGATCTCTCAGGTTACCATCCATTGTGCAAAGCTGAGCCCCCATGTCTCTGTGTCCCCTACTCCACCCCCTTGGCTCCATTACTGACAGCAGGCTCCCCTTCTCAGAGATTCTGACTGGGCTCTGCAAGGAGGTGTTTAGTTCTTAAGGCTTTTATGGCCTAGAGTGGTCCTAAACACTCTAGGATGACTGCCTCTATGCAGCCAGATAGGTAATCCTAAGGAAAAACAAAAGATTTGGCATTGGAGGGACCATCCCTTAGTGGGTATGGCTGGGCTAGAGCCCCTTCTCACTGCCTAAGAGGTTGACAGCCACTCATAGCTCAGAATCTGCAGGGTCTTGCCTCAGGCTCACTCTATATTTTTGTTGTCTTGGGGGTAAAATTAAAATTGACTGCTTCATGTGTAGTGGGGAATGAGCAAGCAGGTGTATGTGTTTGGAAGCCAGAGGTCAACTTCGTGTGTCTTCCTAAATCACTCTCCACCATTTTTGTTTTGAGATATGTTCTCTCACTGAACCTGGAGCTCTCCAATTCAGCTAGACTACCCGGCCAGCAAGCCCCAGGGATCCTCCCATCTCTTCCTCCCTAGGACTGAGAGTACAGGCAGGTGCCACCCTGCTCAGCCTTTTACATGAGTGCTGGGATCCAAAGTCAGCAAGCACTTTACCAGCTGAGCCACATCGCCAGGCCTCAGACTGACTGACTGCTTTTTATCTCCAGAGTTCTATTCTGTCCCACATGTAATATCTGTAGATATGGTCTGCTTGATTCAATGTACACTGCATAATAATAATAATAATAATAATAATAATAAAAACTCCAAACAAAAGAAAGAGAGGGAACTCCTAGGGACATATGTGCTTTTCAGCCTCCCTTACTAGGCTCCAGCCAGTTGAGGGGTTCTTTTGGTCAACAATTCCAAACAATGTGTCCTGACACCACAGCCCTGTGCATTCCAGTCCTATATCCTGGGCCATGTTCATTGCCTAGTGCTCTTTGAAATTTCAGAAATATCGCTTAGTCCTTCCCTAACACCGAGCCCCAGGATCCAGGCAGTGAGCCCCTGGGAAGGAGAGGCCTCTGGGCAAGAACTGTTTCCATGGATCAAGGTCACCACCATACCGGGTTTTCAGTGAACAGATTATCCCCAGAAGTTATAGATAGCAGCAGGTGCTTCCCAATGGTGGGGGGAAGGGGCTGCAAATGAGAGACAGCGCCTAGGGGAGCAACTGGAGGAAGATTTTGCAACGATTTTTTCTCATTATCTACTAGATCTGTTTGTGATGTGGGTTGGAATGGGTTGACAGAAGACTGCCTGCCCTGTCACACTAAGGTAACTCCTCGAGACTGCATGAATCCCTCTCTAAGACTTCTGAAGGTGAGCATGTGCTGTCTTGAGGGCTCTCACACTGCATCTGCTCCTGAGGGCTGGGGATTTCTCAGGGAAGGTAGCCTGCACATGCAGGAGGCCAACTCGTGGGTGCCTAGTTGGCCAAGGCAAGAGGCACCAGGAAATCTTAAAGAAGTAGGAGGGCTAGAAGCAGCCTGCCAGGAAGGATGGGCAGTACCTTGGGGGAGGAAAAGGAGAAACAAGCACATGATGGTGGCTTGGATTATAGTCAGATACAGGCTCCACTTCCTCCCAATCTGCTCCAGGAGAAAGAGGCAGCACATTCTGGCTGTCACCCCATGATGCCAGGGATCACCTGTCTGAAGTACATGTTCACCCCCAAATCTTTCATCTTGAGGATCAATGTAAAATAGGAGTAACTGATAGTAAACCTGGAACAAAACCAGGATAGAAGAGGGGAAGAGAAAGGAAGAAGATGGAGGAGGAAGAGGAGGAGGAGGAGGAAGGAAGAGAAACAGATAAAGAGGAGTAGGAGGAGGAGGAAGAGAGGAGAAGGAGGAAGAGGAGTGAAGGAGAAGGGGAGTCAGAGGAGGAAGAGAAGAGGAAGGAAGAGGAGAAGGAGGAAGAGGAAGAGGAGGAGGGGAGATGGAGGGATAGAAAGAAGGGAAGATGGAGGGATAGAAAGGAGGAGGAAGGAGGATGACAGAAATAAAAGAGCAGGCAAGGAGGTAGGGGAGTGGGTGGGTACCGGGAATAAAAGTAGAGGTAAGGAAAAGGGGGGCAGGGTAGGAATGGAAGAGAGAACTTAGCAGAGACTGGGAGACATGGCCTAGGCCTTGCTCCTCTTAGAGCCTGACCAACCCCTATGCCCTCCCCAGAGTCTGCGGCCGACATATCAACTTACCATCCCAGGATACTCACCATATACAGGCCATGGCCAAGACCACCTTGAAGAAGTGCCAATTGCTGTAGAAGTCCAGGATGGAGGTCTTAGGCACCTTCTTTCCCTGCAGCTGCAGCTATAGAACAAGCAAGACCAGCCAGAGGCAGGGGGAGACTCCAGCTTGTTCCTAACCTACATGGGCCAGGAAAGGCCTACCACCCTCCCCAGTGCCAGCTGCCCTCTGGCCTTAAGCCTATAGGGCTTAATTTTGTTATCATCATTCTCCTCAGACAAAGAGCTAAACTCCCACTGAAAAGATGAAGGAAGAGGCCTTCCCACTGTCCACAGCCCTGGTCTCACTCCCGGCCAGAAACTTCTCACCTCATTCAGTAGATGTAAAGGAATAGTCTTCTTGTTCACCTCAGCTGGATAGCATAACACCTTCTTGGCCTCTTCCACCTTCCCTTTCACCATCAGCCACAGTGGGGACTCTCGGAGAACCCTATGTGGCCCATGTCTCTCTTACTGCAGAATCCCAGGATTCCCCAAAGACCAGTGGCTTTTCAGTAGAGATGGCTCAGCTGTGGCCCTCCTGCATCAGCACGTGACTGAGGGACCTTGAAGGTCACCACCAACCTCAAGATGCTCTCTGATCCTAGCTGGCAGTCAGTTCTTCTCCTTTTCCACCTCACACACAGCCCTGATGCTGCTTAGTGGTACCAGGCCACTTGATGCCTCTGCCATGTGGCCTCCTTTATTACCCTCAGTCAACTCTAAGAGTGCTCCCCAACCTCGGGGCATGCCCTGGGTTCATCTTCCAGGATGAAGGAGTCATAGTGTATCTGTGTCCTTCAGATTTGATGTGACCATTACATCATGAAGCAGTGTGGTGTGGTGAACTACAGGACGCCTTGACCCACGGTCATGGCAACTAAATAAAGAGGACTAACTTTAAAGCAGACAGCTAGGTCTATGGTAATGGTGCCATTAATATTCCCTCTTGGGGGTCATAAGATGTAGCAGGAGGCCTCCAAAGATGGCACGGACCCAGAGCCCTGGGATTCAGCGAGAATTCACTTCACTTCTTGGTCCACAAATAGCTCACCAAAAGGAGCCCATGCCTCCGTACCCTGCTCGTGAGCCCAGTGACTGCTGACAGAATGCATGCGGTGGACCAATCAGAAAACAATACGCTGACTAAAGGGACTTTGGGGCGGAGAAAAGGGAGATATAAGGCCTGTCCCCTTCTGCATTAAACGAGCCTGCAGCACCTCACCTAGTGCTTGCTTCTACCCGACTCCCGGGGTCTGTGTGTTGTGACTCTGTGCCTCTTACCCCCCTAATTGGCAGGGGACCCGATCCAGGTTAGGGTCTTCACAGCTGGCCTGAGGAGAACCCACAACACCTGGTGCCTGAACAGGGACTTCTGCCCACGGTGTTGATGACATCCAGAACCTCGGTTCGTTCGGTAAGTAGGCCCCTGGTCTTGTCTATTTCTTCGGCTGCTCGAGGGTAAGCGAGTATCCCCTCCTCTGTCCCCTCCACCCTGTCTGTCGTCTTTATTGATGGACTAGTTTGTTAGATCAGGGAGGCACACTCCACCACATGGTCCCGAAGCCCACGTCGGCACCTCCCCCCTCTGGGCTCCTCCTGGTGAGTTCACATAAGGGCTGATCCACCCCGAACTCAGAGCCCAGGCTTTGGGTCACCCTGTTGCCTGTCCCGGAGACACCGTGTGAGCATACAGCGAAGTCCCTCACTGAGCACAAGACATTTGGATCTGATACACCTCTACATGTTGGGGCAGTTTACATCCTAGTGTCTCACAGTGCTTCTTTGCTTCCTTTGTGCCCTCTTGGTAGTCACCCTCATCTTCTACTTTTGTGGCAAATTCCCCTTCGTGAGACCCTCCCACAATGGGCAATTTACCACCACAATGCAGGGAAACCACAAACGGCAGCACTCAAGGTTCCCCTTAAAACCAGAGGGTTAAAAGTAAAACCAAAAGATATTGAACACTTTTGGGATGAAGCCACTAATTTAGCTCTGTGGGTCTCCCCTGAAAACATGTGGGACCCTGACACATGGATGCGGGTCCTCTTCCTGGCCCAAAAAAGGGAGGTCGGGTCAGGGATCATTCCCCCCCTGCATTGTTTGTACCAATCCTCCTAGCCATCATTACTAGCCTTAAATCCTCCTCTCCTGAGGAAGTCATCTCGGCCTACAACAAATACTGCTGGGAGCAATCTAGTGTAGATCTGGTGAGTACCTCAACCCCGGACCCCCTGGATCCCCCCGGACCCGGAGGTGGATGCCACCTCTGCACCCACTTCCAATAAGGAAGGAGCTCCTTTGCCTATATCTCAGGATACTCTCCTAGAGCTACCATGCCCCAAAATTCCCCTACCCCATTACCCGTGGAAGGAGTTACTCTCTCCCCCCCAGTAACCATCCCGCCCCTTCCCCTGCTAACGTGCCCCTCCCTCCTAGACCTCCCTCCTTAAAGCTTCATCTGCCTTTGTCCACATTTCCGGTTAACGTTGGCCCCGATGCGGCACAGCATCCATGGCTGCCCACCCTACTTGCTGACCTTGTTCTTATCTGCAAGGCAGCTAAGCAATCGGGCCCTGACTCTCCATATTTCGAACAGGTTCTTCGCCAGTGGTCCTTACAGTTACAAACCCACTATGATTGGTATAGCTTACTAAAGGCAGTCTTAGAACCCTCAGTCTTTCTAAACTGGCGCAGAGCCTATGACGATCAGGCTGAAAGCCAGGCACACCTAAATCTCCAATATGGCCTCAACATTAC